AGACTTCCAAAACATAATGAAACACACACAGTTGGGAGGACGCTAGAATCCAGAAAAGACTTGACAAACAAAGATAATTCATGCTTTGCTTTCAGCAAGGTGCTGTGCGCAAACACCCTTTTTAAATCCTGTTTTCCCAGCTGCAGCTAATGAAGGGAATCAGGGCCCTTTTCTCCTCCGTAATTCACATTGCTCCCTTCTCCATTTCTCCCTGCGTGCCCTAGTTGAAGAGAAGGGGGCCCTGGGTCTTCCTCTGAAGGCCCAGCCAGACTGCGTCCTTCCCCAGTTTCTTCCACAGCCTCCCACTCCCTGTCAGCTGCTCAATCTCCACCTCGGAATCAGATTCCAACAGGGGCATGACAATATCACACTACAGTTGGTCCTTGACTTATGATCATAATTGGGACCAGAAGTGTTAAGTGATCATGCCTAATTTTACAACCTGTTTTGCCATGGCTGTTAAGGGAATCACTGCAGTTGTTAAGGGAATTGCATGGTTGTTAAATGAATCTGGTTCCCCCAGTTGACTTTTCATCTAGGAAGCCAGCTGAGAAAACCACAAATGAGAATCACATGACTCACAACATTGCAACTGTTGCAACTACCTGCCAGTTGCCAAGCACCCAAATTTGTATCATCTGACTTTTGCAATGGTTATAAGTGCAAGGACTGGTTGTAAATCACTTATTTTTTAGTGACATCGTACCTTTGAACAGCGATTATAAAGAAATGGTCGTAAATCAAGGACTACCTGCATTTGCTTGAGGCAGTTCTAATCTGCCTTCCTTCCTTCCCCTTCTCCTTTACAGGTAGTCTTCGACTTACGTTCGTAATTCAGCCCAAAATTTATGTTGTTAAGTGAGACATTTGTTGAGTGAGTTTTGCCTCATTGTACAACCTTTCTTTCCACAGTTGCTAAGTGAATCACTGTAGTTACTAAGCCGATCATGAAGTGGATCTGGCTTCCCCCATTGACTTTGCTCATCAGAAGGTCACAAAAGGGGAACACGTGACCTCGGGACACAGCAACAGTCATAAGTATGAACCAGTGGCCCAGCCTCTGAATTTTGATCCCGTGATCATAGGGAATGCTGCAATGGTTGTAAGAGTGAAACAGGATCCTAAGTGACTTGTTTTCAGTGCCGTTGTAACTTTGAATGGTCACTAAATGTACTGTTGCAAGTCGAGGAAGAGCAATATTAATTTTCACCCTGGAGATTCACGGCTAGACAAACAATGGCAGCATTGAAAGCCCACCAGTAGGGTTCATCTTTTTCTCAAAGTCCTCTGACTCAGGCACGCGCACGCGCACACGCACACACACACACACACTCCATCAGTTCCTCAATTACTAATTCACAATCTTTTTGTGAACTGAGGGTTCAGCTTGTTTTCGAAGTTTTTTTTTAAAAAAGGTGAGCCCGGGATAATAATTGCCTTTGTTTTTGTCAGGGAATTGTGCATCAGGTGTCCAAATGAAATCCGAGGCACTGACACAAACTTGTAGTTTTATATAAATAAATATATTTAATGTTTATATCGACAGCAGACACGATAGTCAGGAACATCATGAGGTAAATCATGAAGTAAATCATGAGGTAAATCATGAGGTAAATCATGAAGTAAATCATGAGGTAAGTTCAAAAACAGCACCCAGAAGGAAAAAAGGCAGGAAAACGGAAACCCCCCTTTTACACCCTCAGCAACCAATCGTAACGTAGATTACCTCATGCCGGAGCCAGCCAACCAATCAACTCCAACTGTGTGTTCTGGCCAATTGTACAATGTTACTGTTCCAGTTGCTAAACTTAATATCCTAACAGATTTCGTGTCACTTATACTTAGATATAAATCTAACTATTTAAACATCTAAATGTCATTGACTTGTGACCACAATTGGGACCAGAATTGGGACCAGAATTTTGTCCTTTTTTTTTCCCATGTTTGTTAAGTGAATCACATGGTCTTTAAGCGAATATAGCTTCCCCCATTGACTTTGCTTGTCAGAGGCAGACTGGGAAGGTCACAAATGGTGATCAAATGATGCCAGAGTTACTACCACCATTATAAATACATATCAATTGCCAAGTGCCCGAATATTGATCAGATGACTGATGCAACGGTCATAAGCATGAGGACCGGTCATAAGTCACTTTTCCCAGTGCCCTTGTAACTTTGAACAATCCCTAAACAAATGGTTGTGAGGACAACCTGTTAATTAAAATCAAATATAGCTAATATAACTACTCTCCCATTGTGTTTATATGGTAGTGTTTGCATTTATATATATTCTATTGTTTTGCATTAAAAAATACAACATAGATGGCTTTTGGGTCTTTGGGAGGTCACACGCAGGGTTGGGATCATAAGCTTTAAGATTTCTGCAAGAAGAAGAAAAAAGACCAGCGCGTTTATATTTAGAGTAAACATTTTCCTGAGAAAACTTATAATAAAATAGGTTGGGTTTACCCTGATCTGTCTATCTCCATCTATCTCACTGACTAGATTATATCAGCAGTATTCAAGAACAAATTGCAGTAGCTGACTTGAAGAAATAAAAAAGATTTACGTAGGACTGCATTAGCAAATCCAGTAAAATTGCCATTCATTGATTATAAAACCCACCTGATGTCATTGTGCCCTCCAAATCTTCTCCTGACATCTCAACATTTATTTATCAAAAGGATCTGAAAAAGAGATGTGTAAAACAAACAAAACCACACACATTGTAGCTAATTTCTATTTTAAGGAAAGAACATACCGAGGCAGCTTTTGTGTACAGAAACTAGGATGGGAAAATTTCATTTTAGAAAACATACTTTGAAGCATTAAAAATGTATTTTGCGTAATGTAGCATAGGTAAGCTCAGAGAGCACCAAGGACTTCACAATTCAACCATGAACTATAATTAGAATAGAATAGAATAGAATAGAATAGAATAGAATAGAATAGAATGAGAGAAGAGAAGAGAAAAGAAGAGAAGAGAAGAGAAGAGAAGAGAAGAGAAGAGAAGAGAAGAGAAGAGAAACCCTGTTCCCTTTTAGCACTGATTATGTTACCTAGTTGGGTAATGTAACATCTGCAAAAAAACAAGCAATCTCAGAGAGTACCAAGTATCCCTCATTTCAACTCTGATTAGAGTAGAGTAGCGTAGAGTAGAGTAGAGTAGAGTAGAATAGAGTGGAGTAGAGTAGAGTAGAGTAGAGTAGAGTAGAGTAGAGTAGAGTAGA